AGCGGTTCAAAATTGTTCTGTTGCATGGTACGTCAATGCATATAGATAATGATGTGCTATAAAAGTGCAAACCCCTGCCGGAACAAAACGACCAACTTCTTGTTTAAGCTGCTGTCCTGCAATGAAGTAACTTGTTTTGCCTCTATTTGCCTCTGAAATCTTTTGCTCCAATTACTTCTGAACCTTTTGCTTATACTAAAACAGGAATGAATTCCAGCTTTTTACTTTCACTCCTGCTAACTTCTTTCTTCTTGTGCCCACATCGTTGCCCCAGAACGTTACTAATCCCCATAATGCTGCTCAGTCGAGACTGTTTGCTTCACTATATTTATAGTGATGCTGTCTCGAAACATTAGAACTGAAGAGCTGTGCTATTTATCTGTGAACATGTTCCGATTGCTCTTTTCTGGCTGTTTTCAAGGTGCTGCAAGATTTAAAAACATGTGAAAGGAGAAGAAAAAAAAAAAACCTACAACAAACCCAACACATTGAGCTATTCAGTGTAAAACAAGGGCCTCTAATTCACTTTTTCTTTACTGTCAGAGTTTTGGAGGCACTTGGAGACTCGCTGTAATTCGGGCTGGCTTCCCTACAACGGCTTTTGCTACATGCTGGTAAGCAACCAGGCACCTTGGAGCGCAGCGCATGAGTTGTGCAAGGCAAATCAGAGTGATCTCATCAGCGTGCAGTCGTTAGCAGATGTCGAATTGGTTGTTACAAAGCTTCATAATGGTAAGTTGGGATACTTGGTGTAAAGGTCAAACACCAAGTGCTGTGCACCGTAAATTACAAAATGCTTCCCTGCTCTAGCCTGTGACTGTCGTAATCTCTAGCTTTTAAATAAGGAGCTAATGCCAAGCTCGTGCCCAGGCTTGTGTCACTGTTCAGGTCCAGACCTTCTGTATTAGCTCTTTAGGAAAAGGAAAGCGAATATTATCACTATAAGAACTGAAATTAATACATCAGTGGTTTAAGTAAAATGGTAGAGGCTCGGTGGAGTAAGGTTACTCCATTGATTTCCGAGGCAGTATTACACTGGTTTTTGTGCATTAAAGTTTGACTTCCCCCCCCCCATGCACATTAATTTTGGATTGATCTATATTATTATTTATTACTATTTCTTAATGGACTAACCTCCTCCTATTTTCCTAATAGATTGTGTTTAATTTTCTCATTCAGAGAGGTTTGTAGATAGAGACGGTCAATATTTGACTACTGGGTCACTGAACTAATAGACGTTATCTGTATTTTCTGGTGTTATCTTTTTGTCTGCACTCTAAAAACGAGATTTTCGGATGAGTGGTTTTTTTTTTTTGTCCTTGTACGTTTATTTCTTACTTAAGACACAAGATATATGTCTCAAATCCCCGTTCTCATTGTAAGAAAAAAATTGCAGCATTTACTCTGTTCAGTATAGTGATGAAAACTTAATTTTGCTAATTTCATGTTTCTTTACAGTTAGCTTGTATATTATTCTGAAACTGTAGGTTTTTTTCCTCATTTTAAATCACAGATGCAAAAGAGGAAATATGGATGGGTCTCAGGAATGAAGGTGTACCAACTTTGTTCAAATGGTCAGATGGCTCAACTGTGTTTTTTACCTATTGGGATCAGAATGAGCCGAAAGTTCCTTTTAACAGCACCCCTAACTGCGTGTCGTATTCAGGAGAGGTAGGAATAAAGTGTTGCTTTGTTAGGTGTGTGGTGTGTTCTTGTTTTGTTTTTTCATCATAGCAGAGGCAACGTTGATGTGTGTGAAAGCGAAGAGAGGAGAAAATCAGATAACCGATTTTACTTCTGGAATAATCTTTAAAATACAGGACAAATTAGCTATGTATTTCTTAATGTTACGGAGCCGCCACTTGCTGGTTTGTCTGCATGGGTCGTTCGCCGCACAGAACGGAAAAGAACTGCTCACAGCTCTGAGGCTGCCTCTGCTGTTGGCCAGCCTGTTGTCTCTGTCGCTCTGTGTTTTGGGTTACCACATCCTTGCGAGGCTGTGGCAGAGAGCTAAGAAGGAGGTGGGCTGAGGTATTGCAAGCAAAAGCTGGATTCGGTCATCTCCAGGACCCGTTTGCGCCACCCTGTCAAAGGATGTGTAGTGAGGTACCTAGGTGAGAGAAGAGGACAGGCGCCGTGCGTAGTGGTCGAGGACAAGCAGAGGGAAGCCAGCCATATCCTGTTTTTTTCCGGGCGAGCTGAGATCCCCCTGAAGCCCATCCCTCTAGTTAGCAGCACCCTGGCCTGTTCTTGCCCCTTTCACCGGTGATCCAGAGTTGTCTCCGTGTTGTCCGCTTTCTCTTGCCTTTCAACGCACGCACACGTGCATGTAATCCAGGGTATCCCACCTCCCCTGTTTTTGCCACCGCTGCCGCACGTAACCCAGGCGTTCTGCCTCTCCCCCTTCCAAAAACTCTGCACTTCCTGGAAACAGGAAGATTCAACATTTTAAATACTTTTTTTTTCATTGCTTCCAACAGCTGGGACAATGGAGAGTCAAATCCTGTGAAGAAAAATTGAAATACGTATGCAAGAAAAAGGGAGAGATTTTGAATGAAACAAAATCAGATAAAAGCTGCTTGTTGAAAGAGGTAATAAAAGTCTGTGTTTCTTTTACCTTCGCTTGAATCAGAAGCCTGCATAAAGTTACTTATTTTCCCTACCTTCTTGCATGCCAACTTCTAAAATAAAAGTGATGGAAGACTTCAGCTTAAAAAGGGTATGCATATAACATGAATCCAGTTTGGTACGCCTTCGTGTTAACCAGGCACTTGGGTATATTAGCACTCTGTTTATGGTTGAAAGTATTATGAGCTTGGAGCCAGGAGGGAGATGCTGTATTTTATTTATTTATTTAAAAAATAACAAAACCTTTTTTTTTTTTTTCAACCAAATAGGTTATCACTAATGCTATTTGTCTTGTTTTTGCTTGAAATATACTTTTTGAATTAGGGTAAGTATTTCGCAACATAACCTTATGTGGAGATTGATAAATGAAAAAGATGAGGTTTCTGGGTTTTTTTTTTCACTTGGCTCCCGTCTTTGTTCTTTGACTTGAATAAAGGTTTGTTTTGTTCAGTATAACACGTGTTAAAACATAAATAAAGCTTGCAGACTTCTTTTCCGTTTTGAACTGTCTTGGGGTGGTCTTACTAGATACTTCAAAGTTCTTTGGTTCAGTTTTCAATGTGGCATAGTGCCTGCAACAGAAAACACATTTGCCCTTTATCTTTCTGTACAACCTGAGGGTGTTTTTACTCTGTCTCTTCAGAGATTGCCAGCATGTGGAATCATAGCTTCCCTTGATATTCAGATAGCAGCAGCCCTAGTAGGCTGGCAAAGAGGTAACACATAATAAGGAAATTGATATTCCTTGAAATTTCAGTGTAAATATAGGGGAAAAGATCTGAAAAATTGAGCATTTCTGCAAGTTCACAAATTTTCAGTATAAAAATGGTTTTTGTTTTGTCTTGGATTTCTTTTTGTTTGTTTTTTGCATTTTGCAGTAAAGCAACGCCGATAACACCCTTTTATCTTTCCTCTGTTTTAATCCTGGCCTTGCTGGAACAGCATCACAACGCCTATTGTTCTGATACGAGGGGACCAGGCTGTCACGCTTGTGTCTCTTTCTAAATGCACATAGCAATTAGAAGACTGTGCACAGTTGAGCTCAAACAGTGCTGTATTTTATTCTTGCGGTTGAATTATTTCTTGGAGCTCAGATTCTGAGAGTTTCAGTTTCTGTTCCTCATATGGAATATGGATACTGGAATATGAATCCTTTATATCTTATTTCCTCCCTGACTGAGCAAATAGATGTCTGATGCGGTGCGTTTCTTTTTTGTATATAGTGTGTCGGCTTATGGGCACCAACCAATGTTAGCGATGATTCCTTTCCAGGAGGCGGGAGAGATCATAATGCCTAAATTAGGCTGTTATATGTAAACATGTTTTTCAATCTCTAACCAGGGGTGGGAGAAACATGGAAACTTCTGTTACAAGATTTATAAAACGGAAGTATCGTTTGGAGCACAGTGCAATCTTACAGTAGTGAACAGGTAAAGTACAGCTCTATGCTTTATGTGTGTATTTTACAGTAAGTTCCTGAAGATTCAGTCAGAGGTTAAGACCTCTGTGAGCCAGACACTGTAAAAAACCAACCAACCAACCAAAGCAAAAAAAAAAAAAAAACCCCTACAGTACAGAACCTTCTGGGAAGCATATTAGCTGCCAGCCTGCTAACCCCATAGTGGATGGTAATGCTCACTCTAGAGTATTTAGAAATGTTATTCTTGTAGAGTACAGTACATACGGGACTGCCTGGACAACCGCTTGAAGTAATTCAAGTAATAATTTGTCTGGTTTTCAAATTGACTTGATAGCTTCAGATGTCTTTCTAACACTGACTTGAATTAATCTGTGCGTTTTCAGGTTTGAACAAGAATTTATAAACAGTTTAATCAGAAAATACAGCAAAATTGAAGAAAAATACTTTTGGATTGGCTTGCAAGATCTCAGCCAATCGGGAATATATTCTTGGAGTGCGGTGGATGGGGAAAAAAGTGAAGCTGTGACATATACTAACTGGAATTCAATGCAACCGGGTAAATTTTACAGTTAAAACAAAAACATTATCATTTGCCATTGAGCAAATATCGGAATACCGTGTTAAAGGACTCCCAAGGATGACACAAAGTAGTTATTCAGAAAACTATGGGTTTTTGGAAAACCAGTCAATATTTTTAAATACTTTTTTTAATTGGCTTAAATCTTAGAGTTTTCAGGTGGATGTGTGGCCATGCCCAGCGGGAAGTCTCTTGGAAAGTGGGAAACTAAAGACTGCAAAACCACTAAAGCATTTTCTATCTGCAAAAAATACATTGGGCCTCCCAAGGAACCGGAAGTGCTCCCGAAGCCGACCGATCCCTGTCCTCCTGGGTGGCACAATGGATCTGGCCTTGCCTGCTACAAGGTGAGATGTTACTCCTACTGGATGTTAATTGTTCATTACCGTCTTGCAGCAAGCGTGTGGTTAGCCGTTTTATGGCTTTTGGCTGTTGTGATATGTCACAGTGGCTATATTGCAGTGAGAGGAGGAAATTGGTGCAGGTTGCGGTTAGATGCCTCCAGAAGTTCCTATGCGTTATCCTCTGCAGCTTTGGAAAGGTGCAGCGTGCCTCTGCCAACTCTGTCTGCAGCCAGCTCTGCGCGTCAGAGCTGAGCGGGGCTCTCAGGAGCCCGGTGCTGTTGGAGGGTGCTCTGCCCGTATCCTCGCCCGCCTGCCCCCATCCAGCATGTGGATCCGCCTGCAAAGGGAAAGAAGGTGCTTTGCATCATCTTCCCCTGCCCATTTCTTTTATGTGCTCTGAGGGTGTAGACTGGGGAGCTGTGATTTTTTTGTTTGTTTGTTGTTTGTTTGAATATGGATGTGAAACTCCCATAAAGTGCAGCCTCAGTTGTATTTTACTGTTTTTGAAGTGAAAAATGGAAGAAGAAGCCACGTTCTTAGGTGCAATGGCTCAAATAAGTTTGCATTTAGAAATACGTCTGTTCTTAATAAGAGAGGGGGAAAAAAGTTAATACTGAGGTTGTTTATTGAGTAGTTTATTCAGTATTTCTGTTTTCAGTGTCTGCACTGACCTCTGTACTGGAAACAGCTCGTGCAGCAAAGTGGGGAAACCCAGCTTGAAAAACAATGGCACGGGCAAGGATCCCAAACGGATGGCTCTAGCTGACGTGCAGCGTAGCTGGCCCCGTCCAGCTGATGGGATGTGACAGCTAGCCCTGGCAGTTTCTCCAGAACTCTTAGTGACTAAGCCTGTGTGTGTAGCAGACCCAGCTAATAGGAGTTGGCTTGGATAAAAGGCAAAGGGGAGAAAGTGAACGTGTTAGCTGAGGTGTATGTTTTATTCCACGAAACCTATAATTTGGCTTGCAATTTTGGAATGAGTTGGAAGGTGTTTTCTAAAATCACTTTGGTAAAGAAAAACAGACAAATTCTGTCATGTGGAGTACGGAGTCTGGCACCTGTCAAACAAATCTGAAAAAAATACAATAATTGTTAAGGAGTCAAGTTTAAAGTCAAACTCGCTCCCCATGGGGGTACCTGTTATTCATCCCTACAGAGGGCGTCCGTATTTGAGGTCTGCAGGTAGCTCGGAAACGCTGTCGCTTCTGCTGTTTTTCACTCTGATTTTTGGCTGTCGTGAAGTTCTTCCACAGTGAAAGAGTGCTGAGGACCAGGACCTGGGAAGAGGCGGAAAGGTTCTGCGAAGCCCTGGGAGGCCACCTGCCTAGTTTTGGTCATTCAGAGGAAATCAAGGTGCTTCATTCTATCCTGAGAAAAATCATCAGGTAACCAACGCGCCGTGGGCTATGATTGTGATTTCAAGCACAGCAGTAGATAGCAAATGGTGCTGCTGACCCCGTATGGCAAGTATGAGATAGTGTACATCCACTGTGTTTCCCACAGTAAAACCAGCTAGATGTGGCATTCGAACTGCTGGTCATGTCACTCCCTTCCTGGAAAATGTCAAGGGAGTACAGCTTAGGCAAAAATCTCACATCACTAGAGGGAGCGCGAGAAAGAGAGACTTGCTTTAAGCATCTTCCATTACATTAAAATAAGTCTATGTTGTTATAATAAATTTTTCCTACTTTATGTTGAATTTTGGTGTAGCTGGGTGACAGTTGTTTCTGTTCTTCACCGATACGTTCTTTAGAAGGGAACTATTATTTCAGTTTTTCAGATGGATCTTACCTTTATTTATTAAATGCTTCCTGACTAAATTGGGTCCTATCTTTTGAACATGTGAATAATGTAGTTTCCAGCAATCTGGCTGGCACAGATCCCGTTTGGCATAACTGCGATAACACTACATGGGCATTAAAGGTGTGTGGCGTGTTTTTTTTTTTTTTTTCCCCCCCTGCTATCAAAAAAATAAATGCTACATAACTTAGGCATCTTAGAGGGTTTTGCAATCAAAGAAACAGTCACTGCAAAGCTTTACGAGGCGTTAGTGCGGTGTCAGATCCTTGCACAGTGTATTTCTTGATTGGCAGCCTGGTCTTGCAGAACTTTGCCAGCGTAAACTCAAACGCTGCTGGTTACATGATCTGAACTTTTCATCCACAAACTAAATGAGTGTTACTTTAAAAGCTGTCAAGGTACGACAACTCTGATGAATTTTAATACTTGATGACTGGAGAGATGCCGGCTTGAAAACCCAGTTTGTCTACAAAAATTCACTTCTATCTAGAAACGTACAAGTCATGAAAATTACCCAGTCAATTTTACGTCAATAAAAGACAAAAGCAAACCCATATGCCCTATAAATAGATTGTTGAGCTTGCAAAGGAGTCACAAGTGGCTTTTATACTAAAGCGATTAAAGTCCCTGAAATAGAAATTAGTGCACAAATTATTTCTAGCTATAAATCTTATTATACTGTTTTGCAGTCACAAACTTTGTTTTATTGTACCTAATATACTATGAAACATGGTTAAAGAATTAACTTTTATTTTCCTTCTTAGTATAAGTAGTTAGTATCACTTTTCAGCTTGCTGACCGTGTCTGATATTATAGTTAGTGGCCGTTTTTTGTGAGGAGTTCAAAGGTGGAGAATTTTTTCCTCTTTTCAGAAAGTCGGCTGACACAGGATGCTATGGCAGTTTCCGTATATCAGAAAAATCTCACTTAGCCTGAAAGAAGGAAGGTCCCAATACTTCAGTAACGTTCTCTCAGACCTGAAACGGGGGGCAATATATTGAGCATAGCGTTAATGAGCTGTGCGGTCGGAGCTGTAGTTCTGTATGTGTCAAATATAACCCTCAACAATTTTTCTCTTGTTTTTTTTTTTTTTTTCCTTTTTTCATCTGGGCTAACCCCTTTCTAAGCTTCCTGCGCAGAAATGCTACGTATTTGATATATTCTGAACTCTTTTGAACTTTGTTTGTTTAATTAACTTAGACAATTCATTGCATTATATACTTATTGCAATTACTCCGAGGGGGTGGTTCTATAAAGTATTTTGGAGATAAGAGTGGTGTTTTCTGAAAATAAGCTTATTTGGGAAAGGAGAGAAGAAAACAAGTGAATTATTTTACCAAAAACAAATAATCTGGATAAACAGGAGAAATCATCGTATGATAACGTTGGGAGCGATCGGCTGCCACAGTGTCCTGGCACCCAGTTTGTCCATTTTCCTCGCATTTTCTCAGCGCAGACTTTTGCCCTAAAATGTTTGTTCAGTGCTGTCATTGCTGCTCGGGGAAGGAGCCACACCTTGGCTTTTTTGGTTCCGGGTTTTTTCTCCTCGCACAGTTCTCCTGTGACTCATTGAGATCTGTTTGTCTTTAAATGTTAGCAAAAGTCAGTTTGGCTCACCAGGAAAAGGGCAGCTTGCCTAGTCCGTTTTGTTCTGTACTCGGATTCCACCTTAGAGGCAAATAAGAGCTAGAACTGCTCCAGCCAAGTCAGGCAGTTGCTATTGGAAAGGAAAATAAAAGTTGTCTGCCAGCCTTTGTCTGTTTGAGAGAAACATGCGATAACCTTTTTTTGTTTGGTTGGTTGTTTTTTTTTTTTAACCTCAAGGGACATGATGCAGGCAGAAAAGATCCAGTTAACTTGCTTTCGTTCTTTAGAGTTGGTTTTTTTGGAGCGTTCTGCAGCTTATAGCTGGCAGTGATGTTGCAGGCCAGGAGGGTAACAGCTTGGATTGGTTTGAAGTAACATTTCAGTGAGGATACCTTACTGTGAAGAAATCAATTGTCTCTTATATACACGGTCCTGCTTCAGTATTTGTTCTGAATCTAGAAAGTATCGCTGATACTGAAGTTTGCAAGAAGTGACTGATCTTATTCTTGATACGCTGGCCGCACTGGCAATAAAAGCTGAGATGCGTGTTGTAGGAATTGCATTGAGGCAGTTCCTCTACCCTTCTGCTAGAGAAGGGGTGATGAGCAGGACGGGATGCAGCGCGGGTAGCCGCCCCTCTCAGAGGTGGGAGCGGGGTCGGGTGAGCTTCCCTCTCAGGCCAGCGCTGCTGTAGAAGCAGCAGTCTCACCTTCCCTTCCCGCTCTCCTTTTAAGTTGCACCATTAGGATGTTGGCTCAGATGCGTAAGTTTTTGTCGGTGTTCTCCTGCTTGTTGAGAACTTGTGACTACAAGTCGCAGTGACTTCATTTAGGCTCTTAGCCTTGTGTTGGAGCTGATGTAAGGGACCAAAAAAAAAAAATCTGTTTTCTATTTTAGCAGTTAGAACACAGTAGCAGAAAAATTCCTACTGTTTTCTGTTACGTTCTCACTGATTTGTAAATAGTATTTACTTCTATGCATCGCTAGTTTTTATGAAGTTTTAGTTCTACATGAGAGAAAAGCTCCTGGTATTCTGCAGGGTTTGTTGGAAATTTAGGGACTTTCGTCTTCAGTTATTGTGGGAGTCCAATGTAAAGCACAAATTGCACCTATTTTTTAGGTTAAAACCTCAGAAAAAATCTAAGTTTTAGGCAGTTCCAGGAATGCAGTTCAAAGAACGCTCTGGCACAGTTAAGACCATTGTGATATCAGTCTGCAGGATGGATTTAATATGTTTTGCAGTGAGGAGACTGACATCTGAAGTACATCCAAACTCCTTGCTGCAAGCTTAGTCGCAATTGAGAACGAGTCTTAATTTATACTCACGTAACATGGTTGGGGGAGTTCTTCTTTGGTGTATGCTGTGATGAGGTGATAGTATAAGAAAAGCCTTTTGATAACCCTCTGAAATTAAACTTATAAGCGCTGTCAAGAGTAGTGTAGCGGTGGCTGAACTGCTCATGTTCATGTCTGAGCAATGCCAAAAGGAGCAAAAAATGTGCAATAACGTAGAAGTGCCAGATCAGCTGAAAAGCGTTGTTATGTTTACAGGCCAATTATTGTAAATTGGAAGGTTTTATTTATTTGTTTATTTTAAATAGAAAGCCCCAAACAGTTGAAAGATTTTGAAAAATTGCTCTAGTTCCTCTGGTAATTACTGGAAATCCCTCTAAAATGAGCGTCTCCAAACTTTCACTGGTAGGTATTCCTCTGTGATGATCAGTTGCTTAAACCGCACTAAGCCTGTAGGCGATGGCTAGGAGGGGGAGAGTGAAGTGCTGCCTGATTAGCTGTATAGGAATGAACAATCAGAGCAAAATAAAGTCCTAAAGGCAAGTTGCCAAAAGCCACTTAGCTGTTAGAAAGCTGTAAATGTTTTGCTCGTGGTTTTCCCTCTGGAGTGATACAGGGTACCTAGGCGCCTTAAAGGCTCCTTACGTGAAATCACGAAAAGACTAAAGAATATTTATTGAATGTGAGACGCTCACAGTGGTGTGATCACACTGTCACACTAGTGTCAGAAGATTAGTACTGGAGTTAAGAAAAATACTCATCACAAAGGAGATCTGTTGGTGGCTGATTCTGTTTCTCCTAATGAAGTCACTTCCAAATAACATGCTGTTGCTCTTCTTAGATTTCATGTGCTTAGCCTGCATGCTCTGGGCTAAGCTGTCATTTGTTTTGTAGCTTTTGAATCCCAAGGGCAAGCTTCCAGATCTGGTTTTATGAACCCACTGTTGGAATGTAACTTTTTCAGACCAACACTAAAATAAATGTCTTGGAACCTCATCCTCAAGTTCTCCCGAGCTGTTTCAGCTGCTTCCTTGGTGCTACACCCGAGGATACTTCAGGGTCTGTTCAGCGTTTTTATGGTGACGTGTGCAGGAAGGCAGCAGCACATCTTACCAAAGAATTTCTTAACGTTGCCAGGGGTTTTCTGGACGTTGTCCACACAGGTGAGCCTGAGGCTGCCTTCCTTCGCTGGCCAACGCATAATAAACATCTATTGACAAACTTACCAAGGTCTGTCTTAAAACAGTGTGATAATTTGACTGCACTGCTCTTTTGGGAGTCTTTTCCAGACTCTGCCTCTGCTGGTCAGAGAGCTCTTTAGTATCTTGAGTCTAAATATATTTTCTGAGTAGGAACTCCTTCAGATACAATGTCCTTTTTGCTCAAGTAGCTTTTCTTCTTGGGGGTTTAGTCTGCTGATGTGTTGTAAAGAGTAATTTTATTCCATCACTGTGTTGTTTTTCAAGCTTAGACAATAAAATTCTTAATTCTTGTTTAAAAAATTAAACTCTCATTGCCTGAAACGTCCCATCAGCGCCGTGTTGTACCCGTATTTGGTACAACATGAATTCAAGCAATAGTATTCCAGGTAAAGTTCTCAAGAGCCCTGTACGGCGGCATTAATACTTTACTCTCTCTATCCCAGCACCTTAATGTGTGTGCCTTTTCCACAGCTGCACTGCAGTGTGGTTTCACCCCTTCTGTGATTTCATAGAAAACTATCTTTCTCCCCTCTGCTTCCAGCTGATACTATCATTCAGCAAAAGGTCTGTTACCTTTCTTGGGCAGGGTAGCTGAATGGAGTGTGTTACTCTAAGTGTCAGTACGCAGCACAGAAATTAATACTTTTAAAAGCAGAGTAAAACTAAGCTTGCAGTTTGACCCGCGCATTTCATTTTGTCATAAAATCTTTAGACTAACAAGCAATAGTAAAGAACATGGTAAAGGTTGCTACTGCAGATTTAAGTAAACCCCTTTGTTGGTAATGACTTGTGTCAGAATAGCTGAAATTTTCAATTTAAACAGCTCTGTTCACAAAAACGAACAAGTAAAACATGGAAAGAAATACAGTTCTGATTCTAATCCTGTAAATTAGAGCAAATTCTTACTGTCTCTCTTTTAAGCAAGTATTGGAGTCCATGGGGTTTATGTGCTCTTTTATGTTGGTGGGTCTTTTGTGAAGGCACAAAGTTGAAATATGTGCCTGTGTTTAGTTTGCTTCTATCAATGACAAACATTAAGGGAATATGAAGCCGGTTATTCTGTGTGAGTAGAGATTTTGGTGTGGTTTGAGGAAAAATATATTTGAGTTGATGGTAGAGAGAGACAGACTGATAGGCAACCTGGAGACAGCCTGGAGAAGAAGAAGCAAGCCAGACAAGACTCGTAGTGTCGTTCTGGAAGAACAAAATAAAAAAGAGACATTGGTATCAAGTAAGAACTGGTGAAGTGGTGATGGAGCAAGCACAGAATTAGTTTTCTCTGTGGTCAGGGAAAGATGACCTACAAATCCTCTTAAGCGAAAGTGCAGAAGAGGGTCTAGCTCTTGCACCCGTTTTCCTTTTTGGAAGTGCTACAACTTGCAGTACTAAGCTTTGGGCTTGCTGCTTGATCCCAAGTAATGCAGTGAATCAAGTCAATCTTTTCACTGAAGGTGCTGAACTGTATGCCTGTTCATTTACAGCAACGACAGATGGGTATGGACAGGAATGAATAAGAGGAGTCCAGATTCCTTGGGAACCTGGCAATGGAGCGATGATAAACCTGTAAGTTAAGTTTTAACCAGAAAATGTCACATCCTGACTTCTTTCAGCTTGGACTGGATTGAAAATAAATTGATACATATTTTAAATTAAATATGGCAGATCTTACAACAGATGAATAATTCAGAAGACTATTGTGCACTTATGAAAGAGCTACCATCCAGGCACAATTCCAATTAACATTTAATTAAATAAAACATTTTAATAAATTAAATATGTTATTAAATAAAAAAATCTAATTTTAATTTTAATAAATTAAAAATGTTATTAAATAAAACATTTTAATAGCATTAATTTGTCTCTTGCATTAAAATAATTTGACAGATATATAGTAATATAGAGGAATATACTAACAACGACCTAAGAGGTGGTAGAGAGAACAAGATGTCTCCATGCCGCAACAGAGGCTGGGGTTTATCAGCTCATCTCTGTGATATTTCTGGAGAAGTCTGACCTGTCTTCCTCACTGTAATTGATTTATTTGCCTGAAATTGCTTGTTCAGCTTTCCCTATGATAACAGGTATTGAGGTAGACTCAAAGCTCTTTGACCCAGTGGCTGTCTTCTAACATTTATTTCAATAGTGATCAACATAACAAGATCCCGGGTTTGAATAGTTGCCTCTGGGGACGGCCACAGCAAAAGTGTTAGTGAAGTAATGATTCTTTCATCCTGTCCCTCCTGCAGGTAACTAGTGTTGTTATGCCACTTGATTATCTGGAGGATGAGTATGACACAAGAGACTGTGCTGCTTTAAAGGTTAGTTTCAAGTTTTTTAATAACAGCATGCATACTTATGCATGAAAGTACTTGGAAAAAATGCTTTCGCCAGGGATATGTGGAATTTAAGTTGATTGCTGAAGTGCTTTCTTACCTGTGCATAGTAAAAATTTGCTAGTGTTTCCTTTAGGAATCTACACGTATTACCAGTTTTCCCTTGTTCAAGCAGTTTTTATGAATCAAGTGCTGTGGTAGTGGTAACCTTTCCTGAGACCTCTTTTTGTTTTTTGTTTTTGTTTTTTAAGCTTCTACTAAAATATTTTAGTGACCAAACTATGATATATTGCATAATGCCATACTGTGTAGCTCTTGAGTACTGTACATTGCACTTCAAGTAATGGGGAGTCAAAAACAGTAAAGCAAACAGTGCTCTACAAGAAACTTTTAAAATCTAGGTTATATATCTTTTGAAGTGGAAATAAATTAAGAACATGATTGAAACATGAAGAAGGATGCAATAGTTGGGATAGAGCGTGTGTGCTGTTTCTGTGTGTGTATTTGTTTGCTTGTGAAATAGAGCTGCAACTGCTGTATCAGTTATTAGTTCAAAATGTCACGGCTGTACTTAATTCCTAATTACGTTCTTCATCATTGTTTTTTTTTTGGTCTTCGTGGCATGAGTTGTAAAATGGCCTTTAAATTTTCTAAAGCATCACCTAACTTTTTATAAGATCGTTCCAGTGTTCGTTCTTCTAGCCTAACTAGAAGCACCTCTGATTTTAGGATTTAGTGAAGGAAAGGATGGGTGCGTCTATTCACAGCCGTTCCACTCGTTCCCCTCTCCTGTGTTCGTGACCCCCGGCTGAGAAATTGTCGTCTTCAATATTAAGCTAATAAAGATTTCAGACAAAAGAAGAGTAGTTTAAAGGGGGCGTTGTGACTATAGTCACACCTGTAGTACTCCCTGCGTTACTTGTTAGATTTAGACGTGATCTTTCAGTAAATGATGCAAAATTATCCTTACTGGAGAGATTAGCGAGGGTGAATTCAGATTTTAAGCTAGATTACAAAAGAAATAATCCTAAATAAGAAAGGTTATTTCTGTTCCATTTCAGGTAGTTTTTTCTGTGAGAACGAGAATCCTCTGGGGCAACAAGTTGCCACGGGTCATTCAGTAATAATCCTAGATGAGACCCTGTGGGCTACGAAAAAGTGGAAAAAAAACAAGGAGAGACTTCTGTGTGCAGACTCCCCTTAAACTGTTTGCCTTGGTTCACAAGCCCGGCTAGCATGGAGGATATGTGAAGTTATGGTTGTATCTTGCCATTTCTGAAAAATCAGTTGCATGGGACTGACGGCACAGCAGTGCAGGCTGACTGTGCTGAAGTACTTTCTAATAGAGTTTCATTTCAGAGGCCCATACTATAACAACCTCATTCCTTGTTCTTACTTTCTACAGACATTTCAGTTTTCACGGAGATCGTTATGGAGATACTATTTCCATGAAGGTAGAGAACTGGAATTTTACTTGAAGCCTTTTGATTGTGAGGCTAGACTTGAATGGGTCTGCCAGATTACAAAAGGTAACTGCATTTACATCTATTTATTCGTATAAAAAAGCTTGTCGATGTGTTTTTATTTCTTCAGTGCTAACAGTTTCTGTGAAGTAAGATCGCTCAAACCTGAAAATGAGGCTTGAGTGCTTTACTTCTGGCTGGCTGAGAGCAGGCCAGCTTGTTTTTTTTTTTCTTGTAGTATTAGAAGTGCTGTAATTCAGTAGGCTTTTATATTTTAGTTGCTCATTAAAAGGCTTTTCAGGGCACGAGGATTTCTTGTCCTGGGGAAATATGGCTAGATGTACTATTACTTTGATGCTTGTATTCTGCTTAGGAGAAAAAAACAGATCTTTAGGATAGAGCTATGCAAAACTCCCACTACTTTTGCATTAGCCTGTTTAAACTATTCAGCCTGTATATCCATCATGCAAATAGAGAAGAGTGAGTACCATCCCTCACTTCCTTTATTTGCAACTAGTGTCGTCAGAAAACGTACTTGAAGTGACTGTTCCCCTTTTCCTCTGAACAGGTAGCACTCCAAAAACACCCGAGTGGTACATACCAGGTAAATAGACTTTTCGCATATTCTTCCATTATGTACGTGTAGATGTTACTGCTGTATATATGTCATTATTGTTTTGCTATGTTACTACTGTAATAGCATTTTGATATCAGCAAAGGTCATGACTTGCAGACCTTGGTTCTGAGAGAGCTCAGAATGGAAGAACGAATGTTTGCTCTTCCCAGTGTCAAACTGATTTTTTTCTTTTTTATTAGATTAAGAAAAAGAAAGTGAGTTTTTTCAGGATTGATTATTCATGTGTGTGATGTTTCTTCTGCATAGATGAAATTGGAATTCATGGAGCCCCACTTGTTTTTGATGGAGCAGAGCTGTGGTTTGTAGCAGATAAAAACCTCAGCTTCCAAGAAGCTGTTTTCTACTGTCAAAAAAACGATGGCGATTTAGCCTCTGTAGAATCTTACCCAAAACTCAGGACAGTACTCTCTCAAATAGAAAAGGTAAGGAGGTGTAATCTAACAGGTGGTTTTTTTTTTTTTTTTGTTAATGGATGAAAATGTTTCTCTTTAATTTGTTTCTTTATGCTATTGAGCTTAATTCTTAATTGTATGCAAAAGCAAAAGATGAATTGGAAGAAAAGAGAATTATTTTAATATTACTCTTGTGAAGTAATCTTTGAATTTAAAAATAGCCTCAATAACAGGAAAGAAATCTTCAGAGAGAAAGTACTATAATGGGACCACCATGTAAAAATCCCATTATCTGCAAATACTTCATTACCCATTGTCCCAACTCTATTTTATGCATGGGGTAGCACTTTTTTTTTTTTTTTTTAACGCGATGAGAGAATTTAATTAGAAATGCATGATGGGTCAGAAGGTCTCTACAAGAATAGTGTTTGTGGCGTTTGTAGCATGCAAGTACATTTTGTTAAGGAATCTTACAAAAAAAATTCATATTTCGGCATTTCAGTTACTACCTTTCTTTAGTGCTACTGCTTCCAAGAATTCGTTCTGAAATTAGCAGCTTGCAAGCTCTCTTCATGAGAGTTCTCCTGACCACTTCGATCGAGTCTCTTCCTGGAGGGGAGAGCTTAAGCATTTGACCCACTAAATCCCTGGCCTTTTTGCAATCTATTCGTTGTTGGGCTGTCTGCTGGAAGAAGAGGATTATTCTGAGGAAGAGCGGAAGGTCCTTTGAATCCACATGAGCTTTGGAGAAGGTGCAGCTGTGTCCTGGCTGTCTGGGAGTGCTGCTATAGACTTCGCAGGACTGATATATCTAGCACGCTCTTAAAGTAGCACGGAAAGTTTTTCCATGGCTTTTATCCACAGTACGAAGTGGGGGTGCGAAGTGTTTCCATGGCACAGTACGAAGTGGGGGCTTTTTTCTAGTAGGTGCAAGGGTCCATCTGCTTGGCATAACAGTCTCAAATCCTTTCCCATTGTTAAAGGATAGTAATTTCTACGCGTGTGAAAAAACATTTTTAAAACAAAAGGAATTTTGTCCTTGATTTATCCCTGGTAAAGTCTGGAGATCTATTGTTATACAGGGTGGTAAAATCCAGGGTTTTGTTCTTTCTTTCTTTCCACAGTTATCGAACAGTGAACAGAAGTGGTGGCTGAAATTTATTGATTATGGCTACAGCTATCATTCACCGTATGTAGAATAATTATGGGGTGCCTTACTGTAAGCTTCTTTTGATGTCCTTTTTAGGAGTATAATTAACTAGAATAATTTCTAAAACAAAATACTTGATGCCCAAATGTTTAGAGCTCACTCCTATATCGTCCCAGAGAAGTAAGATAGATAACTTAAACTAAGCTAGAAAACAAAATAGCATCGTTCAATGGCCGCTGTTTTCCTCTTTCTCTTGTTTCCATGTACCCACACCATATTCTTGCCATGCCATACTTGGATCATAAAGTACCTAGGGCAAGAAAGAGTAGAACTGTGTGTTTGATAAGACAAAACAGATGGTGGTTAATACAAGAGTTGTGTGCTCTTAAAAATCAGAGATATTTTAAAACAAAATTGTTGAAAATATTCTAGTTAGTTGCTAAATCCTGACTTCTGTTCTTATTGCAAGCGTTACTAACATCCCAAACACCAAAGTGCTAATCATACCATTCGTGTGGAACTCTTCACCTTCAAATTACTTCAGACTTTAATCTCAGTCCTGCAAAAACGTATACATAGTTTATATGCATATGCCTGCAGTTAGTGGTACAGACCCAGATGAAAAGGAACACATTGATTTTAATCAGATTCTTGTGTGTCTGTGAGAGCCTCTAGACTTCAGGTTGTTGGGCTTTCACATCTTAGTCTTGTCATGTGAATCCTTGAAATCTGTGATCGTAATAGCTAACATATTCTGTTCATCTTTAAGATACTTTAATTTGGTTTCTAAGCCCACTTTTATGTTCTGTTAATAATTGGGGAACTGAAAAAAGATTCTGAAGAAACCCTCTCTTTTGACTTGGAGAATCTGCAGACATCTGAGGATAGGGTATATGAAATCAGTGTAAGGTTTCAAGATGCCATTCTTCCAGTTAGCCAATGTCAAAGTCTTGCAGAGCTTGTGCTACAGTTCTGTAGAGCTGAGATGGCTTATAGCAAACCTTGCAGTGTGCTCTTCATGGCTGCAGCTAAGGATCACGCGCTTCTTACCAGCAAAAATCTTAATATTTCAAAATATTACAGGAATATGGTATTTCAAAAATATTCTCCAATGGATGAATGAGGGCTACTGCCCGTTATCCTCACTTGGCATGGTAATGTGCTAGCAGTTGCAGCATGGTTAATCAAGGAATAACCTAGTTCTACCCTAGTTCTGCACATCTTTGGAACACACTTAATTTGGGCATGGTACATATCTACTGAACCTACTACATATCTTTTCCTAGTCTAGTCGTCCTCTCTGCTGTCCTTTCCAGTAGGATAGGGCATCTCCTAGAAATGGTTATCAGCCCAAAGTTTTGTATGCAGTGGCTCTGTTTCTATCGGAATTTCCACTTGAAGATTACTTGAAGATTGGATTGGTGATTGACTCTGACATGATTTTGTTCAGTTTACAGTTATTTCCACGTTTCCATGATCGATTCTTGAGGGACTGCTGGTATGTTTCTAGAAAGAGCTGGTATAGAGGTAAGGGTTTCCTCTCTCGCTCTCCCTTTTCATTATATTAAAAAAGTAATGACAGTTCCGGCCAAACTTTGATATTGAGTACAAATTGATGTTAAATCAGATCATCAAGAAGCCATTCAGTTAGATTTTGGATTACTTATTTCTTCCTTGTGGTTGAAGCCTTGGTAGTATTTTTTTTGATGACGAGACGCAAACTCAAATTCAAATGACAGAATTTTACGACTGATTGTCACTCCTTTTGTGATGTTAATCAATTCAAATAATCTGGTTTTGCTGGTTACCTTTTTGTGTATGTGCGCTACATACTGTGAGTTCTGAAAATTAAATCTTAGAGGAGCTTGACTAAATATCTGCTCCTGCATGCCCATACAGAGGTGAGAATTTCACTAAGTAGTGGAGTTAAACTGGAAGATGTACAAAAGGCAACAGAAATATTAGCTGGTGGTACTTGGAGCTTTTCATTTCCGTTTCTTAACGTTGTTTTATATTGGGAAAAATGTACAACCCCTGCTCCACAAAGAGGTCTCCTTATCTATTATCACTTCCACTTAAGAGCCCAATTTTCCCATTGTTCTATTGTATGCTAGTGTCCTGCTGACCTGTTTTCATCTCTATTAGACAAAAATTCATCTTCACTAGAAAGCCCGTCCGGTTACTTATGGCATCGTGTAAAGCAGTGCAGGCCAGACTCTGTCCGTATGGGTGGTAAAGGGATGGAATTCTTCTTGGCTTCAGTGGGCATTAGGTTATACACCCTGTGTGCCGGAATACAAGATTAATCCTCCTGTTCAAATTTTGCTTTTCATGATTCGTCTGTTGGCGTTGCCTCCGCCTTTATGAAGCGCTACTAGAAGTAAGGGATCAGAATCTAGATCTTCAGCAATAATATATTATTGTCTGATCTAAATCGCTTATATTTGTCTTTTGCTCCGTTGCTACTTTTAGTGCTTTGTATTGCAAAATACTTCACTGTGGCTGCACATAAAAGGGTTTTGCCCTTTTCATTACCCTTTTTTATGCCCTTTTTATTAGTCTCTTTCATGTCATAAAGTGTGGATGGCAGTTAGAGCATGATAGTGATTACCGTAACCTTTTTAAAACTTGTGTTTCTGCAGACTACCCAGTTAACTGCAATATGAAACTGCCTTTCATTTGCGAAAAAAATAATGCCTCCTTACTGGAGAAACATGATCCCAGTTACCGCCCAGTCAGAGGAGGTTGTCCTAAAGATTGGCTTCGGTTTCGAGATAAGGTAACGAGATAATACAGAACAATCATCATTACTTATTTTTCATGGCATGATAGGTTGGAGTGCCCTGCTGAAGGTGGTGAGGAGGTAGCTCCTGTGATCAGGAATGGCCTGGGAAGTGGCCTTTGAAATCTGTGTGCAGTGATGAAAATCATCTGCTCCACGTCTGTCTCTTATTCAGGACTAATAGCTTTGTAATTTCAAAGAAGTAATTTTCAGGATTTTCATTCTACCCTCACCACACATTTGAACCCAAGAACTTTGGCTAACCAAAGCCAAACGTCGTCTAACCTTGGGCTCTGCTTTGAAGGAAGAGAAGGATTAGAAAGGAAGATGATGAGATTCTTGTGGCGGAAGTATCTTCACTCTCCGAGTAATCGTTAGGCAGCCAGCAAGATGGCAGACATCCTGCTCCCTAAGTCGCTTCAGAGACTTAACTCACTTAATAGTTAGAAGCAGCTTTTAAGCTGCTTCAGACAGACATTAGAAGCCATACTGTAGGAAACTTCAGTCCTGTGTTTCAAGGCAGTCACCTAGAACCTTAGTGAGACTGTGGTCCCTGTTGTGTGGCCTGTCACTGTATGTAGGCTGAAGTATGCATCAAGTGCCAAGGTTTGCAAATTTACTTCATATCATTGCAGAAAATAGCTTTCTGAGTTCCTATACAGTTTCTCCCAAAAGATGACATGTTACAGAGCAAGTTCCTGACCCAGCTCAAGTTGACTTGAGAGTTGCATTCAGATGTGTTCTCAGCATTAAAACAGAACGTGATCCTGACGTGGTCAAGTAAAATCACTGAACTCTGACGCTCAGAGAATGAAGGGTTATTCAGTTGGATTATTCATCATTTTATACTTAGCTGTTCTGTCAAATCTAGCAAGAGATTCAAGGAGCTAGTAGCAGTTCCCTTGCTTTCTGAGAAAAATCATTATATTTTCTTACAGGAAGCAAGAAGTGAGTTTTTAGGGCTACTTTAAGAAGCTTTTCTTATGACTTATTTCTTAGGAAGCAGTGGCAAGATGAAAATCAGTTTCATTATGTTTATTTTGCAGTGTTTTCTAAAGATGAATCCCAAATCTCTAACGTTTAATGCAGCTAATGAAAAGTGTGTAACTTTTGGAGGCTCTCTTCCATCTATCTCAAATCAAGCTGAGCAAGGTATGATGGTGCATTGGGGGCACTTTTAGTACAAAGCTTCTCTCCCAAATTCAGTATAGTTCTACTGCGTAAGCACTTCAGCATAAAATCACTTGATTATCTGCAGGCATAGTGGGAGCGTTCTAAAAATCCAAAACCACTTAAAGATATGTTGTCTATTGTTGTTTGCACCACTGGAAACGTAAAATAGAAATGCAGTCAGCAAACATTTGATCCGGGTCAGTGAGCAGCTGCTCTTTATGGCCTTATCTGTTTCGGAAAGAAGAAATTGTAAAACCGTGCGTTGAAGATTGAGGATAGAAAGGTCGATGGGTGAAGAATTCCCTCCCGTGCTTTGCTTTGCAAGTTAACACATATCTGAGGTGTTAGATTTTGCACTGTGAAGATCACCTGGGAGCTGCTCCCAAGATAAGCTCAGCTGTGCGCCGGAACAAAGCCCTGTGCAGCACGTAGGACCCTCCGTGTCTAAGCATGCTGAGTAGCTTAATAGGCCAGTCTGTCTGAACAGACCTGCTGCAAGCTGTCCAGGAGAGCGTTAGGAGCGTGGAAGGCAAGGGGATTGCAAAAGGCATAAGACTTTGTGCCACCCTTGGGGCCTGTCTTTCAGCTGTCACATGAACATAGTCATTGAGGTAAATGCAGTCGAGGAGAAACGTATTCACACTGGCTGCAAGTAGTATTCAGCGATAACCTATTGTTAAATGAGACAGCTGTATTTGCATCTGTATTTGTGTGGACGACTGAAGTTGTCTGCAGATATATCTGAAATAGCTTGGTTGAATTCCACAATGTGAGCAGCACTTACTTTCTTTTTAAGCAAATAACCTCTTGCCAAATGGAATATGGGAAGAAGACTAGGGCGGCCACTAGCGTGCAGGCAGGAAGCGGCTGAACAGCAGTTTGTTACTGCTGGCATGGGGGGTGAATAGGGCTGTTAACCGTACAGGTAGATGCGTGTCTGAGTCCTGAGTGTTCTGGGACTCCGTTAAGATCGCAAAAGCATAGCGTTCTGAAATACTACCAAGTGGGATCTTTTGTCCCGTTTTGTGCATATGGATGTTCGTTTTTGTTTGTTTTTTGCTTCTCTCCCCCCTCACCATGTAGTGAAGGCCACCTATATAGGAAACAAAGGCAGAGTCATCTGAAAGAAGTATGCTTCTTTTTGTAGGCTGCTTCCGCTCTTCCCAGCAGCCTAAGGAGGGTGGCTAGCTCCGATATGTAAATCTTCAGTGAGTTTGCCTAGCTTAGAAAGTAGGCTGAGGCTAGTCTGGCACGTGGCTGATAGCTGAGGCATGTCAGCAGTAGCTAATTACACAGCCTCAATTTGTCTTCCTAACCTCTACAAGGTCAGCGAATGTCTCTGCTGCCCCGAGGTTTACTGAAGCCCATGGTTTCTTGCCAGAGTGTCCACTAAGAGGAAATCTAGGATTTTCCTGTCTGAAATTTTTCCCAACTAAGACTGACTTCCTTTGTCCTGTCCTGCTTTCCCACTCTGGCAGAGTGGGAAAACTCTGCCAGAATCCAAGAAATGCTTCTGCTTTGTGGCATATATCAGTAGGAGAGAAAGATGAGAGATGAGACTTGGATTTCCATCAGTTCAGAGAAGGTGGGAGGAAGTGCTTTTGTTATCTCTGTTGGGAAACAATGGAAGATCTTAAAGGCCTGTGGAGAAGCAGCATCTGAAATTTGGATTTAGGTGCAAGGAGACAAAGCAGAGAGGGGAGAAAAGAGAGAGAAAAAAGTTAAATTCACCACCGGCTTCTCAACTGAGAATTGGGAGGACAAATACCCATCAATCTGCTCCTTTCAGAGAAAAGATAACACCCTTCTTGTTGATTATGGAGGGAGGGAGGGTATGATAAGCAATTGGAAATCTTAAAGGACTAGGAAAATGAAGTTAATACAAGTGGAGTTTGTGTTATTGTTGCAAGCTGGGTTGTTTTTTTTTTTTGAGATGTTTGCTGTGGTTGTCTGTACCGTAATATGTACGTCTTTATTATCCTGCCCAACAGATTTTATAACAAGCTTGCTCACTGATATGCCAAAAAATATTTGGATTGGTTTGCAGTTTCTGTTCAGCACAAGAGAAAACAAGTGGATAGATGAGAGTAGACTATTGTATAGTAACTTTCACCCACTTCTGACAGGAAGATTAAGGAAGATTCCACTGGATGTAAGTTCTGGCTATTGGACTTCTCTTGACTGTTGTGTAATGAGGCTTGGAATATTGACTGTATTAAAGGGGGGAGGGGGAAAAGAAAAAGGGGGAGGAAAAAAACCCAGAAAAAGTACAGAGCAGACCAGATCGCCCAAATAGTGATCTTAACTGGCAAACATGGTGACTGACAGTAATGGAGTTCTCTTTACCCTTATTTGGATGACATGTCCTGAACTGAGATAGGAAACACTGAAGGGCGGGGGAAGAACTGAAACAATTATTGAATGGCTTTCCTGGAATTCCTATTTGTAATTTAAAGACTCTGTAAAAACAGTCATCAAAAAGTTGCCATCGATAATTCTTGGTTAAGTTACATGTAGAGTGCATGCGTAAATGACTGTACGTCAGTATTTTGCTCGCTGCTCTACGCAAGGTGAAGCATAATAAATTTAATGGAATCACAACCATAAACAAGGTTTGTTTTAAGTGTTGAATAGTTTCATTTAATATTCTCTCCCCATATCAAGAATTCTTTTCAAGTCCAAGCACTTGGCAGTGCTTGTAAAATGGGTAAGCTGTATTGCACCACCACTTTGAAAACTTCTTAAACAAGTTCAGACAGATCAGATTGTTTTAGACTTGTGTTTCTTCCGCCTTTTCCACATCAGTAGATTTATACTTTGAGTCTGACACGCGTAATTCTTGTTTTCAGCTTTTTGATGAAGAGTTTAACAACCAATGCGGTGTAATCCTCAACGATCCCAAGTCACAGTATGTTGGAACATGGAACTTCACTGCCTGTGCTGACAAGCACTTTTTGGGTATATGCCAGCGGCCAATAGGTAAGTCTGAAGAGTCAAAATAAATTAGAGCCAGACTCTGCTGTTAAGATCTGTGTGCCAGGAGACCTTTTAACGAATGTAAATTGTTGCACTTGAAGAGCAAGATTCTTGCAAAGTCTGAGCAGGTATTTTGGAAAAGCGTTATGTGGAGGATGCTCTGGGACGCGTTTAATCAGCCATACAGAATTTCCCCTCTCCTTTTTTCATAGCCCAGTTCTGTAGCCACAGAGGAAATCCATCTTTCCAAGAGACTCTGACCAGACAGTTTCAATGGACCCATGCTTTTGCATGTAGGGGCTTTAGTAATCTGTGGATGCACCTCAAGGGGTGGAACAAATTATTCCTTTTCTCCCTTCAGAACTGTGAAAGAGAAAAGCTCTAGGAAGGGTTCTCAGTATTTTCATCCTGCTTAAATACCTCCTGTGTTTTTTAGCACTATCAAAATATGAGGTAGCAGTCTGTACTCTTGAAATTGAAATTGGTCTGCCCAGAGTAAACCTTGAGGGCATACATGGAGAGTGGTAATTTGCAGTGATGCAGCCTTCCCTAGCTTCCTGCAGAATCCTGCAGGCCCTTTGGCATAAGTGGGGCTTGCTTTATTTGAACTAAAAGTAATACTCTGGTGTAACCATGTAGGTTGGTCATCACTGATTGCTGGGATCTGATCAAACCCATATAGCTACTCTCAGACTTGATTACTGCTGTAGGCTTAATGTTCAGCATACCCACTTTCGAGTACGTTCCTCTTATTTATATAATCCTTTTAAGTAACTCGTATGCTGTCTTCTAAAAAAAAAAACAGGTGTGCAAGACAAATTCCCAAGAAAATACACACCTGACTTTCATTCTCAAATAGGCAAAGTGATTTTTTTTTTTTGTTTCCACTGTAATCGCCTTTAGTTCAGTAGCAAATACTTTTGAAACTCGAAATGTCCAGATTTGAAGTCTAGAGGGAAGAGGTGTAGCCAGTAAAGGAAACTTCTACTACTAGAAGGTTAATAGTATATCTATGTATATCATTGTATTTGTCTAGACTAACTAAAGCACTGAGCACTTCTTCCTAGCCATAGCTGTCGAAGGTGAAATGAGAAAGGTTTTTGGACTGCTAGACAGTGCGTCCCCTGGTACAGTCTGGCCTTACATGATGGTATTGATGTCCTTGTTTTATTGGAGATCTTGGGATAAATCAGGTTGTTCAGGAGGTTGCAGGGACTATGAGATCAGACTTGCCTGCGCCTTATCCTAGGGGAGAAGACAGCTCGGATTCCTTGGGAATCTTGGTGTGATTGTGATTAGCACAATCTCTTGAGACATTCATCATCAGCAATTATACCCCTTTTCTTTCAGAAAGGGGCACTTTCCTTACTAACGTCTTTCCAGTTTGTTACCCCTTGTCACCCCTTCGTGTGTGATGGCGTTCTTGGTTCTGTGGTTCTTTTTTGAAGCTGTTCACTCCGTGAAAACGTTTGGCAGCAGACACAAACCATTTCAAGCAATCTGTTTCAGTATTGTCACTCTTCTAATTTTTTGAAAGTTGTGAATCATACATAAATACCAGATTAATACTATGTTTCTGTGTTCTTGTATTTTGGAAAATGACTCTGTCGGCCTATCAGTCAGCCATTTCTATGCTGTTATTTATACAGTGATTTTTTTTTTTTCTTGGTAAGCCTTTTTCTGCTCAAGATACCTGTCAGATGCCTTAAATGCCAATGGTTTTCTGCCTTTTGGAGACCCAACTTACTTTTGGTTGCATATAAAATTTTAGGGCTTACCAGGTTTGCATACTTCAACTTACCACCTGTGGAAATGTCTGCATCTTTTATTAACTGCAATTGCCAAGCACTGCTGAGCTGTATGAGTTCAGGAGGATGCTGATCACTGTGATAAGGCTCAGTGATTAAAACCGAAATGGTGAATTTCACTCCTCCCTAAGCAAGGTGGATTTTGTATAATTAGTTGAGCATCTTTGGAGGCAAAAATCGATTGCCGATATACCCATCGACAGCAGCACAGATTCTCAGGACTATGCGGGAGACTGTTAAGATCTGCCTATGCAAGGTTTATGGCCCATTAGATTGCCGTAACTGTAAATCCTCTGGCTCCGTAGAGATAAATGAATCGGGTATAGCAGATTTCTGACTATTGCCATGATTGATTACAGTTACAGAGTATGTTTTTTCTTCAGTAAACAGAACTTAATAATATTTAGCAGTTAGTTAAAGCTAGGAAACGTAGAAAGATATAAACCCAAGTTCTTATACATGTGCACGTGTGTGTAAAAATGAGCTGCAAAGGATCCTATTTTTTTTTCTTTCATATATCCTCTGTCCAAAGTGTCAAAGATGCTTGCTCCTAACTATAACTATTAGCATAACTTACTGCCTAAGAAAATATTTTTGATACGTATTTCTAGGGGGGGGATTCAAACAGGTTTTTGTGTTCTTGTTACAGAGAGATTGAGAGTTTAAAATGTATTCCAGGCTTTAACCACCTACTAACTGGATTTCTTAATTAGGTATAGGAGCTGCTGATAACCAGACAGAGCAAGTTCTTAATGAAACACTGACCTATCAAAATGTTCAATACATGGTAATTCTGAAGAATTTATCCTGGAACGATGCCATGGCTGCCTGCATAAGTAACAAAATGCACCTGGTTAGCATCACGGATCAGTTCCAGCAGGCTTTCCTTGCTGTTCAGGCTGCCCTTCGTAATTATCCGCTGTGGATTGGACTCTTCAGCAGAGACGTAAGTTTTATTTTTTCCCTCGGACTGTGGCTTACAGAAGTTTTTAGAGTTGTGTGAAATGGAAATGGGGATAAAGAAACACAATCAAAAACTGAAATTTCTGGGATAGTCAATAGTTGTTTCTGTTGGCATCTGTTTTCCTTTAGCGTTAACCATCTGGAGGGTTTCAAGATTAACATACTAAATCTTCAGTTCTCTAAGTTACGCGCTTAGTTGTTGAATTCCACTGGATGGACTGATGAAGAAGAAGCGATTCTTTTATAAGGTTATGGGATGGAGGGATATAGTGTAAGGTAGCAGCAATATATATTACTGAATATATTTGTCCCTTGTTAAGGAGTGAGTAATTGGTGCTGCCATTTACTATTATGGAGTACCACTATTTAAAAAAAAAAAAAAATCCTACCAAAATCTGTTTTAAGGAGGAGAAACCAATAATGATAAATAAAATCCAAAATTAACCTTTAAACTTTTCTGGAGATACAGTTCTATAACTTAAACTCTGTAGTTTCTTAATGTCATTTTTTCCTCCCCTTTTCGGCTAGAGGGGGACATCCCTGAGACAGGTTAGTGGGTATTTTTGTTTGTTTGTTTTCTCTTTAGAAAAGTCAGTGCAGTAGTTACTGCTTTGCCTGTGTTAGCCAGAGGCCCTCTGGGAGATCTTCAGTGTGGACTGAGAGCTTTCTCCGCTGTTAAATCCTGCCACCAACCCAAAGCCATTTCATTATCTTTTTTTTTTTCCCTTTTCTCCCCCCCCCCCCGCCAAACATATGAGTCTCGAGGTAATTGCAAGAAAAAAGTTAAAACTGGTTTGAAAATGACTTGCCTATAAAGGTTAGTGGTGCTCACTCGGCAGCAATGAGGTCGTGATCTCACTTTGTCAGTAATGGGCTACTGAATATTCTAGACAAAGCAGGAAAATAAAATATAGGAAAGTGTATGCTTTATGGAGGATTTTTTTTACAGGAAATAGGTGTTTAATCTGAGAAGACTAGGACACCTTTTTTCCCTTCCTCTTTTGCATCTTTTAAATGAAGATCAGATGATTCATTTTGTTCTGTACAACTCAGACTTGCAGTAGCTTTTCACTGTTGCAACACTTTGTTATTTGAGTACAATTAAAAAGACAAATGAAAGGAAATTATAATGAAACTGGTCAACAGAACTTGTTATTCCAGTGCTGGAATCGTAGACACAAAAGAAAGATAGAAGATAAATGAAACTACAAAGGGGGGGAGAGATTTCCTGAAGAAAACTTTCAAATGTAAGATAGGATAGCACTTTTGTTGTATGTGGGGTTTTTGTTATTCTTGCTGTATCCTCCAGGGCAGGAGCACATTTAATTTTTCAAATCAGTTAAGTATGTAACAGATTACTTTCAAGTCAGTGTGGAGAAACAGAGAAGAGGCCTTATTCTCAGATAGCATCAGTTTTCCAAGCACAGATAATTATACCCAGCACTGATTTCCAGGTGCAGGTGATCTAATTTGGCATAGTAGACAGACATGAACATTTGGTCATTTGCCATCAACTTCAGCTGATTCATATTTTTGCAAATGCAAAACTTAAAATAACAAAGCTTATTATATGCTGAACAGCGGATCAGATTGTGAGATTAGTGGAACACCTACAGTTCTCACCAGCGCCGTGGGCTCCATGCGCTTGGCACCTTCCAGCCAGTGTAAGCACATTGTCACGTGATTTGCTGCACCTAATGTTTTGCAGTGTTTAAGCTCATCCCTTTTACAATGCTAGGGTGGAAAACATTATGGCTGGTTGGATGGCAAACATGTTAGTTTCAGTCGATGGTCTGAAGATGATGAAGAAACGAGTGAAGAATGTGTGTTTTTGGATACTGATGGCTTCTGGAAAACTTCTGAGTGTTCCTCTGAAAACCGAGGTGCTATTTGCTATTTACCGGAAAGTATGTATCCTAAGATATTCTTGACAATACTTACAAAAGTTGCATTGTTTTATTATGAAGCATATTTGAGAAGTACAGTTATAACTTTAAAATGGCAACGTTCAGCTTTTACGTTTCCCCAAACAGGCTGATCAGAGGAGAGAGAAAAAAAAAAAAAAAAAGATACAGACTTGAACAGACCTGTTGACCTGAATCTACAGGTTACTTAGAAATAAATCCAGGATGGGTGCTTTTGGCCAGACTGTATCCCTCGTATTGCCAACTGATTTTATTTTGCACTGTTTCCATGAGGTTATTGCGTACCCTCTAATCTCCTTCTTTTGTACGTGGAATAGTACAGCCTCTGTACTTCTTACATCTTGATAACGGACCCTTCAGCAATCCCTTCAGCTGATGAAGCCCATACAGGGTGGGAGATAGGTGACTACGTGGAGGAGAAAGATATCAGATAGACACTTGGTTGAAAGGTGCCAAGTGATGTCTTCCTCAGCTCCACATAAACCGTTCTAAGTAGAAGACAACTAGAGACTGGACAGCTTTTTGGAGGATACATACGTGGCACAACCCCTGTCTGAAAAACATAAAGCAAAGATACCTTTTGGAAGGTCGTCACAGACGACTTCCCCATGAGACCATTATAATTTAGGGTTTTTTAGCGGGGTGAGGACACAGTTAAAGCCATTGCTCCACGTTCTGAGTTACAAAGATGTATGCTTATGATTATGACGTTCTTAACTATTCCATGCTCGCAGTGTGGCCAACTGCAGGAAGAGCCCTTGTCATGTCTTAAGAACTAGAGAAAGCCACAAAACGGGGATGTGCTCCCAGCTGTAGAGTAGTTCTTGTTTATTATGATGGTCTGCCTTCATACAAGAGCCAGTGAAAGCATTTAGTTACTGGTCCATACTTGTTAGTATTTTTATCTTAGGAATTTTATTCGTAAACTTACATAACATAGCAGTTGTGAAAAGTTGAAAGCATCAGTATATACCTTCCACAATGCTTACTGCTGCTTTTGTTTAAAAATACCTCTGTCATGAGGAAACTGAAAGCGATAGCGCATATTACACATTTAGAGGTTGACACTTAATTTGTGTCTTACAAGTTTTTTAATGCTAATGTGAAAATGTGTTGTGGAGTGTAGCCTTATCTGTTCTATAGTCGTGTCCTGAATGTCGTCTTTCCCTCCCTTAGAGAAGATCGAAGAAGAACCAGTTACCCAAATCAAATGCCCACATAAGATTAAAAATACACCCTGGATATCATTCAGAAACAATTGTTACACTTTTACGATAACAAAGAATAGATGGCGAGAACTGAAGTCTCAGGAAGCTCACCACTTATGCAAGAAAATGAGTAAGTACTTCTTCGTATTACAGGCTATTTGTAGACATATCAGCTTGAGGGAGGTTAGTTTTAGATCTGAATTGCTGTGTTACAACAGCTAAGTGAGGGGCGTAAGAAGGCTGTAGCATTTGGAAATGCAGGCTAGTTATGCATCTGCGTGATGCTATTTTACCTTCACGCTACTCGGGTAAAAATTGCCAGAGCATCTGTGGGAGAGCTTGAGTGAGAGAGAGATGACTAGGAATTACTAACTGCTGAGATCACTGAAAATGTAAAAAAAAAAAAAAAAAAAAAAAAAAATTTTTTAAACTTATTTAACACCTACAGATTTTAAATTTGTAGGTTTAGGTAACCATTATCCCCTTGGCAATATCCTGGCTTTATAGTCACATCTACTTTGTGTTTTTTCCTCCCTTACTGTGTAAACAAAGTGGCCTGAGAAGAGTCTGATTTAGAAAAGCATGTGGGCTTTTCCTGTCCATCCTGAACAAAGCATATGCTTAAGAACACCTTCCCTCTTGTATTAAAGCATTGGTCATGGCAGCTCAAAGGCACGTGTCTAACTAATTTTATTTTTCATTAATTGGTTTCAAATTCAGTCGTAAACTACCTAGCAGACAAAGAGGATTAAGAGAATTGAAAAGACTGCTGAACGTTTGTGTTCCCTACAGAGAATTGTTGCTAGGTACAATTGTAAGTGACTGCAGAACCCCTAAAAGGCTCTGGAACTGAAGCGTCTGAACCTGGGGAAGCGCTGCTCATGCTGCCTTCGAAGACTCTTTTCCTGCTGTTAGTTTAGTTATTTTATCTATCCTTTATACATTCTTGATGAATCTGTAGTAACTATTAACAACAGCAGTGAACAAACCCTTCAATTTATCTTGTAAGCATAAGTTGAATATGTAAGAGAATAATTCTTATTTTTAAAACTTATTTCAACAGACCCAGAAGCATTTGTTCTGAGTGTTCGAGATGAAGAAGAAAATAACTTTGTTACTGAGCAGCTTCGCTCATTCAGTGGCCTGGCTATGTGGGTCTGGTTGGGTGTGATTTATGATAACAGTGGTAAGTTGTAAGTTTTTTCTTTTTTTTCTCTCTCTCTCTCTCTCATTTTTTTAATTTTTCTTAATAACTGGACTGGAGACAAAGTTTGAAGCATTAGGTGCACGTTTCTTGCATGCTTCAGTATACAACTAAAGTCAAACTGAATACAAACATATAATCTTTGTATTTATCTTTTAGAGGAAAACAACCGGATGTGCTTTCTGTTTGATATTTAGATTCAGTATGTTCTGTTTAGTCTAGATTAGATTTCCCTAGAAAGCAGGATTTAAAAGAGACTGGATGAGTAATGCTAACACACTTAGCGATGTATATGGAACAGAATTACAGTATTTCAGAGCACCACTGAATTTTTTTCCAAGGTCTGTTAGTCATGAGTATATTAAAAGTTAAATGACTTTTTGTACCCAGTGTCAGTATTTCGCTCAATACAGAATATTTTCCACAGATAATGTTCTGAAGTGGTATGATGAAACTCATCTGACTTACAATAACTGGAGACTGGGGAGACCTAACGTAAAGAAGAACAGTTTTTTTGCTGGTGTAAATCTTGACGGTTACTGGGATATTTATAATTATTCTCAAAGTTGGCATGCTCATCACTATAATGTGTACAGTATTCTCGCTTGCAAAATTGAAAGGGGTAAGTAGTAGAACATCTAAATGCCTAGTATTGGAGCGTGGGATGAGGAGCATGATTTCAGTCCTGGTCCTGTAGTACCTCCTACGTGAGGCTTTGCTTTTGCTCCCACTGAAACCCATGGCACAGCTGTGATGGGCTCTCGTGGGTGGAGGGTCTAATATTCTGATGGGGATGGATGTTTGCTGTACTCCTTCATCAACTGCTCACACTGTTTAAAATAGCAAAAGATAGCTTACGTGATAGGAGTAGTTTGTACTGAATATTAATGCTTGAATTACGGTATTACCAATGGATTTAGTGCTTTCTTTATGTTCTTATTAATATGAATGAAGTGCACACGATTTATTGTTATCTTATCCTTTGAAATAGGACCTCAGCAACACAAACCTCCATTGCCTGAGTCTATTCTGCATGGAAATAGCACTTACAGAATCCTTCAGAAAAAGTTAACGTGGTATGATGCCTTGAGAGAATGCAAACGAAATGGAAGTGATTTAGCAAGTGTACACAGTGAATCACAACAGTTATTTCTCGAAGACATTGTCAAGCAGGATGGCTACCCTCTGTGGCTTGGACTGTCAGTCCATGATGTAAGTATTACTGTTGATTAGCCTCAGTACCAGAGCTTGCAAATAATTATCTGCACGGGATATTAAATATTTTCTGTTTTTTTGCCATATTCTTGGCGGCTATATTTCTATGTAGTACATTACTCACTTTTTATCCCCCCCCCCCAACATACGTTAGAAAGTTTAAAGTATATTAAAATTTAATGTAAGTATGCTTCCATATTTTTTCCAAATCTTTGAAATCATAAAATAATATAATGGCCCCAAACCATTCCTTGTGGCACAAGGAAATGTAGTTTGCAATGCTGCCTTTCTAATCTCCAGATTTTATGACCCTCCGTGGAATCGGATTCTGCCAACAAATACAATCCGACAAGGCTGTATGGAGCCTGTTCAGGACTGGTCCTCCAAAGCAGTTCAGGAACCGGCTCTCTAGCAAGTTATGCCTCCTTCTGCTGCCATTCCTTCTCCCAGCAAGCATAGTGCCTCACAGGAGGCAGCTACATGCCTTCCTCCTCATCTTCCTCAACCTGCTCAAGCTTGGAGCCAGAGGCCTGTGGCCCTGTTTGCCGCGCTGACTCCCCGGCTCTGCCCCCACACCCGGTCGTGGTAGTTAGTTGGAAGCATGCTCCTCTGCAGAGAGAGAGAGAGAGGGGACGTGATTTCCCCGTGTACCTTTGCCACCTCTGCCCATCCTTTTGGTTGGAATGGGCCCCTCCACTTTGCACAACTGACTCTTCATTGTCCCGGGTTTCCAGCACTGCATCTAAAGTAAGAGCTGACACTGCAAGCCCTTCCTGAACTGGCTGCCTTCACTCACGGCAACCATCTCTGCAGGTTAGCAGTTTGCAGCATAGCTAATAGTGTTCATAACAAGGAAGAAAGACTGCTGTGATGAAACAGCAGGATTGAATTAAGTAAAATTTTCCCCATAGAATAAAATGGGCATATTAGAGCTCTAAACTTAGGAAGATGCCACAGCTTCTCAGTTCCCACAGACAAGCAGGGCTTCTGTGCTAAGAATCACTTGGAAAATGCTAACCATGCTGAATGTTGATTCAGTATGGATTTAGATAGCAGGGCACCTGCGTTTGGATGCGTCGCTCTACCAGGGAACTACATTGCTACATAACTTCCTAAGAACTGTCAAAAGATTAAGGACTGTATGCTATGGTGTAAAAATTGTGGGTTTTCTTTCTTTAATTAGGGAAGTAAAGCTAACTTTGAATGGTCAGATGGAAGTGACTTTGACTATTATCCTTGGGAATTAGAAAACTCAGACACTACTGAGAACTGTGTTATGTTGGATACCAGAGGATCTTGGAATCGTACAAAATGTACAAGTGTTGCTGAAGGTGCTATTTGCTATAGTCCTCCAAACAGTAAGTGTTATTTTTAAAATACAGTCTATAATTTTTTTTAGGTATTCTATCTTCACATATTGTATTTAGAACTGGAAATGAAGGCTGAAAGACTAAACTTGATTGACTCTTTTAAGACCGGTCGTTTATCAGGAACGATAAAATGCTTTTTAGGACGCCGTGAAGATTTGAGGCGCTATAATTCTGTGGCGAAGAACAAGGTTTGTCAGATATTCAAATCCACATTAAAAACGTACTGCTTGTTACATAGCCTAATTGGAGAAGGTTCCATTATATTCTGGTTATTTTTGTACTTGTTGGTATGACTGAAAAGCTTATGCAGTGGGAGTTTATTTTATTTGATGATGTCGCTAGAGTAGAATCACAGAACGGTTGAGGTTGGAAGGGACCAACCCTCTCTGAGGTTGGAGATCGTCGAGTCTAACCCTCCCTGCTCGAGCAGGGTCACCCAGATCAGGGTGCCGGTGGCTTTTGAATATCTCCAAGGATGGAGATTCCACAACCTCTCTGGGCGACCTGAGTAGAGTGACCAACCTCTTCGTTCCCGACTGGAGTAACTACTCAGGTTGTCTACATTGTAGATTCAGCCTGAACAAAACTGGCTGTACCTCGTCAAGAGGCTCTGGAAGGACACTGGAATTTCTCTGTTCAGTCGTTAACAATCAGAAGACTTAATTTTTCTTCTCAGTAGTGCCACCATTTTGCTTCCTACTTCTGCCTTCTGTTAGTGTTTCCAAGCAAAACAGGAGTCTGTAAAATTGAAAATGATTAATCCACCTGTATAAAGAACTTAGAGAGCCTTGGAGAAAAAAGGGATAAGAAAACTAGTATAGTTGTATTACAATTGCAACTATTATATTCTGTGAGCAGATGAACTTACTCAAATTCACAATATGTTTCATTTTATCCATTCCATTACTGAAAGTTTCATAATAACCTGGTCACTTTTTGGTCACCTGTGACAAAGAATATAAACTCTTAAGTATCTTTCCTGAATCAAAAGTCCGTATCAAACATATACACCAGACTTCAAAACCCCCTGAAAGGCAAGAAAAAATGAGTCCCAAATCTCATTATTATAAGTTCATCTTCTACACATGCAGGAGGAATGTATGCTAACTGTGTCATGTATCAATAGCTGCTGGTAGGACAAGCAGTCCTTGTTAGTATTTATTTTCCTGTTACAGCAACAAAGAGACTGTGTACAAATGCCTGCCGCAGAAATAACATCAAATATTTCTATCTTTGCAGAGAGACAATTACAGCCACAGCAGGTGAGCAGAGCCCCAGGCTGCCCACAAATCAGTGGAACAATGCAGTGGATACAGTACAAGGATCACTGCTATGCATTTGACATGGCCTTCTACAATTTTTCAGTATATAACGTGGAAGATGCTAAAAGAGTCTGCAAGAGACTGAGTATGTCATATCATAATACAAGTTGTAATTAGTCCAGTCATCCAAAAGAATGTAAATGTGCGCACGCACACACACACACAATCCTGGTTATAGTTCAGCTTTTATGCTGCTTTAATTTAGGAAAACTTCTAATGGCAAGCTTTATCTTAACTTTCTTTGAACAGCTGATTAAGAGTTTTGATAACAATCTGCGATGTGCTGACAATTTGATTGGTGCCCACACCTGCAAACGAACCGCAGAGAGCCGTTGACATAGGATTTAGAAGTTTAGGGTTTACAGTTTGGAGAACACTGTGTTATTTGTATACAGTTAACCTCATTAAAGTGAGTGCTGTTAGCTGTGTATTCTTGTTACACACTTGCATTAGCTGCTTGCAGAGAGCCCCCCCATCAAATGGTTTAAAGCAAATACCCTTAATGATATCATGTACTTTATCCATAAACTAAAAAACTTATTTTTCTGTCAAATTGAAGGATTGTTCTGTCATCTTTGATAAGCTATGTGGGATTGTAACGTGACAGATAATGTTAAGCAGCATCATGTACTACATCTTTTGTCACCTTCTTAGCTTAGAAGCCAGTGAATGTCATAATTTTTGTTCACTGAATTGTCTTATGATGTAAAGTTGAACTGGCTATGTAGGATGAATTAAAGGAAAGGAGCAAATAGCATCAGTCCTGGGTGCAGCTTCTGTTCACAGCCCTACCTGGCCTGGTAGCTGAAAGAGAAAATAATCTTCCTCTAAATTAAGCTTCTGGCTTATATTTGCATATACTTGTAAAGAATAGGTATGCCCCAAATCTGTTTCCGGTATACCCTCCAGAATACCCCGCTTACTCCTTAATTGCTATAACAGTGTATATAAAAACCTGAGACAAGGTGAAGGAGCGATAAAGAAAATCTTGGTTCAGCAAGATTTGAGTGGTTCTCAGCCTTTTTTTGGTATTTGAGATTAAACAGCCTTTTAGAAGGGGATTAACGCTTCATCAAGACTATTAATTCTGTGTTAGTGAGGTATCTTCTAACATGTTCCCTGTAAATGCTCTACAGCTGCGGTAGGTAGGCTTCCCCCCAAAAAAAAAAAAAAAGTTAACGCTCATCTGCTGCTGTCTTGTATAACATCACACTGTATTTTTGGGAAGGTGCGGGGGGGAGACTTCTTTCTTAAGCAGGTTACTTCAAGCTAATACTAGCAGCCCAGAGCAGCAGATCTTTTCCCAGTTTCTTTGTGTTACGTTGTTCTTGTAGAACTTTAAGAAAACACAGTTAGTGTACAAGCACAATGAAAAATCTCTAAAGTTAAAATTTTAAGCCTTTTTCTCTTCCTCTTAGATCCTTCAGCAACCCTTTTGACGATAGCGAACGCTGAGGAGAACGCGTTTGTCAGCAAACACATAAGGGAAAACGATCTGATCACCAAGAAAGTATGGCTTGGCCTGGCTCAGAGCGCTAGGGGTAAGAAGTACCAACCGTGTGTGAGCATGAATGTTTTGCATGGTGCATAAAACCTCAAATAAGAACACGGTTTTGTAGTGTTAATAGCCTGCGATAACACCTGCCTGAGTTGGAATCTGTCGTTTAGCACTGTAAAGCCCTGTGGACTAGGTTAAGTCTCTCCTGGTAGCCACACTTGAGATAAGCAGGGGTCACTGAAACTAATTTTCCCTGGCACTGTCACTGATGGCAAATAGTTACACTGCAAATGCTGTCATTTCTGTCCGTTTGCTAGGGGTCTGGAGAAGAGGTGCGGCTGAAAAGGATGTGTTCATATTTATTGCTTTTAGTACAGCGTGTTATGGTGGTTTAACTAAAGCAGATTTTTCTCAGCAGATCAGTCCTTGAACTGGCTCGATGGCTCATCAGTTAATTATGCCAACTGGGAAAACAAAACCGCAGAGGACAATGAGAAATGCAGCGTTATCCTCTCCACAACTGGCACGTGGTCTAAAGTTGACTGTGGTCGTAGTCTAAGCAGAGTGGTTTGTAAAGCTCCTGTAGGTACGTCAGCATTGATTTTTAGTGGATGCTTAACTTTTGTAGTGACTGTATTGCAGCATTTTTTTTTTTCCCCTTTGGGAAAGTCCATGTTCAAATAATGAAAGTACAGTTCACGAAAGAACCTGTCAAGTACCTCTGCCTTAAGTGAGAGCCTTCTGTCACTGCTCTGCCCTTCAACTAGGACAGTACAGAGAATTTTTCCATTTTGTTTCTTATCGCTACGAATTTGCCTCTCCTCTTACCACTATCTCACTATAAGGGAGAGAATTGAAGTTTCCACTCAAGAGAGCACAGAGTAGTTGCTGTAACTTTTCTTCCTCTTACCATGTGAGTCTTTCACAGGTAAGTCCAGTTTTCCTCTGCGTCTTTGCAGGTGGAAACAGAAAGACTTCTGTTTGTGTGAGATGATACTGAGTAAGCGGCACTGCAGATTGCACTTTCAGTCCTGAGGAGGCTTCTAAAAACAGACCCACAGCTCTAAACAGGACTCTGGCCTTATGTTACTTCTTCATACTCTGTCCTGGCCGGGAAAGGAAGCAGTTACCTGAGCCTTAAACTACGTCCTGAGAAGCCGTGGAATCTTTCTGCTTTTGCATGCATTGTTACTGAAATAGAAACGTGGGAATAGATTTCTGTTCATGCTATTAAGGAAGACTGCAGAAAAATCTTTTCACTCTAGGGGATGCAGAGTTCCCATCCCCTCAAGGAGAGTCCAGGAGCATGAGACCTCTGAAGTGTACGAACTTCATCAGAATAAAACACCTGTCTCTGAAACACTGAAACAGACTTTTTTGCAGCAACACTTTTAATACTTTCTTAGAGTCAAGCAGAGCATCTACATTTTAAAGTAGATTTTAAACTTTAAAAAAAAAAATTTAAGCATTATATATCAGTACTTACACTGAGTACAATACCATGTTCCTTGTTTGAAATGAGTAAAGCATTTACTAGTAGACTTTGATCCAACTTTGAAGTTAGCCCTGCTTTGAGCAGGAGGAGCAGATGACCTCCAGAGCTCCCTTCCAACCTAAATGTGATTAGGAAATTACTAACAGAATGGTTAAAAATAAATAAGCTATTAGCTACTAATCCATATGGGAACTGAACTTCCCAGCTGATGAGGTGAAGACTATTAATATGATGCAGTTTTCCTTAACTTCAGTTAAATGACCCTGAAGTAAATGCCTGCACTATGAATGTATAGCCACATAAGTATTAACCCTTAACAAATACTCTTAGCAAAACTCTACAGGATGTTACAGTTATCCAGAACTGTTGTAGGATAACTATTTTTGCTTTATTTGCAGGTTCTAATCATACCGGGGTGGCTGTGGCATTTGCTCTGATAATTATTTCAGTCTTCGTTTGCGGCTTAGTCTGGTATCTCTATAAAAAGAAACGTCTCCACTGGAGTGGCTTCTCTTCAGTACGCTATCAAAGAGGGATGAATGATGATGATGAAACTGATGATGTGTTCACAAAAGATAGGTATTGAGAAACTGTCGTAGGTGATTTAGCATGAACTTCACTATGTGAAGTCATAAAGAAAGAGGTACTTGACGTTTTATTACTTCTTTTCGAAAAAAGATTAAGAAGGTTGTTAATGGAGGCTAAATTCTGCTCTTTTATAGAAGTGTGCAATTTTTATTCAAGTCCATGGTAATGATTTACGTTTGGCCTTACCTCTGTAAGGAACAAGATTTCTGGAGTTCTGTAATATTTTTAATTTAGATCATTATTTCCCCTCTTTACTGGAAAGTATTTTTAATGGAATAATGAACGCCAATAGTACTTCACCCTAACAAATGTATTTGAAATTGCTACATGAATGCTGTAACTCTGTACAATTACCAAGCAATAGCTGCGCCAAATGATGTACCATTTCGGTACGCTGTTCGGGTTCTGCTGCTAGCATTGGGCTGCTCTGTAGAAGCCAACACAAAGATCATAAATAGGAGACACGTCATCTCGGTGTAGCAGCTTTTGTAACAAGCAGTTAGTTGCCAGTTTTGAGATAGCATGGGAGAAAGGCTTTATCATACAATTAAACATTCATTCCCATTGAGCTAGAATCTTAGTTTCTTGCTATAAGTAATAGAGTAGGAAAAACATATATTTTTCCTCGAAGTTCATGGAAGAATCATTAGTTAGTTATAGTGGAAAGATCAGAATCTTAAAAGTGTAAAATGAACATTTTTAGTACAGAGTAACAGGGATTACCCTTCACCAAAGCCACTCCATCAAGGAGTAAGTTAAACGTAGAACATTTGCATCTGAGGCTGTTGAAAGCCAGCGTATCACTAATCTTATGCCTGGAAGTTGTGAGTGGGGCTAGCACAGCTAGCATTAAGGGCTAACTACAAACACAAGCAGAACCCTTAGTCTTGTAACATCAAAAGCACAAATGTGCTTTGTTCTGCAAGATAACTGTTTTTAAGTAAATTGTTTGGTTTCTTTTCACAGCTTCTGTCACAAAGTTTTATAAGCACCAATAGCAGGAACTTTTACAGTGTATTTAAAAAAAAAAAAATCAGTATCTGGAACCAAAGTATTACTTAAGACAAAGATATAAAATTGCATTCAGGGTAACGTTTAGAGAATGATCTACCTACTTCTATATGGTTTTTTTTTTTTTTTCACAGCTCCTCTGAAATTAGACCTGAATGATTTTTTTTCTACATTAAAGCACAGAAAAGCCCTGTTCCATTTCATGACAGGTTGCGCTCTGTGACCAGTGACAGGAGCATTGCAGTGACGTTGTTCCCTGTTCTGTAATGAGAGCCTCCTGACTTTTTACTTGCAGGAATACTCTTACTTACGGTAGGATTAAATGCATAATTTTATAGGTGAGATACTTGTCATCTGTTTGAGAAATAAGATAAAGCTATGGCTAAGGAAGGATTGAGAAAGAATGTGTGGTAACTTGTGTATGTAGATGCTAAAAATACTTGAGTATTTTACATAAAACTTAAACTTGATTTTTGTTTTTTTTATTTTTTTTTAACCTGATGGGTTACTGTGGCCTTGTTTATGCACTCCAAAGAAGCTATAAAGGGAAAAAGGGAAGACAGAATTGTATATATTAATTACTTTAGTGATTTGTAAAAGGCATTAGACTTTTTTTAAATGCACAGTATAAGGAACAGGTATGTTTGTTTACTTTCATGAAGGACTATATGTAAAAGACCAAATCCCTTCCCCGTTTAACAATGATGCGATATGGTAACAGGAATACGTTTGGTCTAACATACTGAAAAGAGTACTACTGATTTCTCTGAAGTGACATTGCAAGGTCATAATGTTCAACTGCCTTCTCCCCCCACCCCGCAGTTTACTTATGTTGACAGCACTTTTCTTTGTTCCTGTTTGCACTATTTTGATAAGCAAATGTTTATCAATTTTATTGAGAAATAGAGACCTTCTTGTAGATACCGCTTTAGAGCCTGTTAAAACAGACGGGACGGGCACAGTAAAGGAATATTGTGTGCTAGTTTGCTGAGCAAAGAAACAAGCACTTTTGTTGTTTATTTGGTACTTGGGCACAACTGAGAATAAAAATTAGTTACTACACCTTGAAAATAGATGTAAAGAAAACAAGCCCCAACCACCTCTTAAACTTATCCCTGAATGAGAAATGTTTGAAACGTAAAGCCTGGTTCCTGTCATCTTCTGTTGTAGCTTATATGCATAAGCGCTTTGCTGAATGACTTCTAACTTAAGGGACTAAGAAAAGGTCTGTATTGTTTATTGTCCTTTTCTAACAAACAACAGTAAAAATTGGGAAAAATTTACAAATAAGTTTATATGTTTTATAGATGTTTATATTTGCACATTTTTGAGTGACTCTGAAATTGGAAATAGAAATTAATAGTCAAGTCCTAATTATCCAGTGACTATCCTGTGAATATATACTTTTTATAAAATATTTTGTTATTACGAATGATGTAAATACTTTTGTAAGGCCCATTTCTCATGTTTATTTTTATCGTACCCAGGTTGTCTAATCACTGGTAATTCTTATTTGGATAAGCACAACTGCCTTAGTACAGGTGAATGACCCACTTTGTTTGAATATATAGTGAAATTATTTAGACGTATTGCCATTGAAAGAATAAAGTCAAATAAAACACTAAGTTGCTTACAGTGGTTTTATTCCTGTGGAAGCAATTACCAGAACTGAGGTACAGCACATTATCGCTGGGCAAAAGCACGTAGCAAAGGGGCTGTGTTCACAATTAAAGTAGGTAGGTGCTACCGCAATAAAAGTTTAGAGATCAAAGTCTTTTGGATGTATTTTCAAAAAATGCCACTGACTTCCCCCCCCCCCCCCCCACCACCCCCACTAAAACACACATAGCTGGTTAGAGTTAGGCATAACACTTTCTGCTGAGGTTTACACAGAAAGGGAACATGCCCCTTGGCTGCTGGGTTTTTTTTTGGGGGGGGGAAGGGAGTGGGGGGGGTGGTTGTGTTTTTTTTTTTTTTTTTCCAAGTGTTCATTAGTGTTTTCCAGCCTTTCTTTGCATACACAAACTGCTTTGGAGCTGAAATTGTAAGGTTCGCCAATGCCCTTGCTTGTAAATTGCAGGAAATCAGTCAAGTTATTTTATTTTCAAGCTTATGATATCGGTAATTAAAGCATGAGATGTATCATCTACTTCAAATATAATCTTCCCTTTCCATTCTGTGTTAGCAAATTACCATATTTCTGGAAGAACTTAATTCTTGGGCTGAATGCTGCACTCAGAAGATGTAGAGTTGGAAAAGAGTGCATAGCAGAAGGGGAGCGCAGCCCTGCTTCAAAAGGGCTGCACATTGTTTTTAAGAGCTGGATCTCCTGAACACCATTTGCGAGTGAAGTTGAGTTTAATACAAGCAATAAGTCTCTTTAACATAGTGCAGGAGACAGGTCTGAGGAAATCAGATTTAAGACAACTGTCCCATTAGCTCATAGGAAGAGCAGAGCTGGAGCGTGACGGTCTAGGCCAGGGCTGCCCTTGTTTTGCACAGGGTCAGATTTAAAAACAAAACAAAAAAAAAAAAAGACAAGGCTATGAACAAGGTTACCTGCTTCAAAAAAGATTGGTCTAAAAACTGAAGACAATGAACAGGGATATAGAAGTGCAGTTTTTTTTTTTTTCCCCCTGGTCCCAGAACAACGGGGTTAGGAAAAGATCCTGAGTTGCTGTCATCTTAGAGCACAAGCTGTCCACTGGATGGTGGTAGCTCTAGGCAAAATTTGGCCTAAATGCAAGAAGGTTTTGCACTGACTTAATGTATCAATCACAGCATCATTGGCATATCTCCCATTATGGCAGAGCTCTTTCCTGCTCATCCACTTGCTGGGGGACTTTCCAAGGGAGTGGAGTAATACATTGTTTGTTCCTCTTCTGAATTTTACCCAGAGTCTCTCCCTCCTTAACCTTTCCCTGACACGGAACGGGGATTTGATCCACAGCAGACACTAGACAATCCACTATTTTTAGCTTACCCATATTTCCTCTTTATAGCTACAGAAAACAATTGCAAGTGCTTATGCATAAGCGCTATTTGGGCCTGATGTATTTGTTGTATTTCTTACTAGTTTGCTCTTTTTTAAACAAACATACCATCTGCTCATTGCCCTAGACATATGTTATACGGCTAAATATTTTTGAAAGAAGGAAATAAATTGCGTGGCCTGTCAGTGATTTCTTTTGCGGTTGTAAATAAACAAACAAACTTTTTTTTTTTTTTTTTTTTGCTGAAAGTCAGAATTACAACTTGGGATCCTTTACGTATCTGTTGTTGCTGGGGCTATAGAGCACAGCAGGATATGTAACACAGATTTATGAAATTAGTCAAATTCATTCTTTGTCAAGAAGTACATAAAAATTTTACTGGCCAAACATTAAACAGCACAGTTTTAAAGAAAGCACTATGAGCATTAATAAAGAACTAAGCATAGGAAGAACAGGAGATTAAGTACTGGAGCAAAAAGTTCAGTCATGACTACAAAGGACTTCACCCCTTCAGTTTTGAAAACATTTTAATTTAAGAGTTGACAAAGCATTAGAAAAAGTATTTTTCTATTGATAGCAAGTTAACTTGCAAATACTGCACAGCTTATAGAATGCTGCTGTTTTTATTTGTCTATGATATTTCCACATTGAAAGTGACTATATACCAGTAACTAACATTTTTTACAGATTCAGGATAGGGGTGGAAGGCTTTCCAGATGAGGTTTCATTATGACTACGTGGTAATGAAACAGACTGCAAGTCCTTCTGCGTTTGCATTTGCAATACAAAAGGGAATATACAGTAACTATAAACAAAACACCGGTTGTTTGTTAGTTTTGTTCCTTTTTAACAAAAATAGAATAATTTACTCCAAGGCACCTTCTAAGAAAAGTGGAATTCCAGTAACACAAAATAATTACTGCAAAACATGCTTTCTTTATTATGGTCATCGCTTAGGAGGACTTTTTTGCGAGAGCAAAGATCATTTCCTCCACACTGTATCTTAGGACACTCATATTGATAGTCTTGCTTTTTATTTTTCCTTGCACTTCTCCTTTCAAATGTCATGTGTCACAGTTCCCCTTTAACAGATTATGAGATAGAACAGAGATTTATACAGAAAAAAAAAAGTGTTGCTTGTACTCCGTAAAAAACTAGCAGAGTTTTATTTTTATCCAAATAAAAATAGTTGGTTCAGATGTCTTCAGAAATTTGCATGAAAACATGCACAATTGAATGGCATCCTCATTAGTTGTCTAACTGCTAGCTGTTTGTCATGGAAGTTTATTTTCATACATATGTTATGTCTGTTTAGAGAGGGTCTGCTGTCAAGCGAGAATGTGACTTATGAATGTGCCCTCATATTATCCACGCATACGTATGTGGAGTGTGGATCATGAGCTACTTAGAGACAAAAAGCGGGGTTTCTGAAGACAGTTTCCATCTTTTACTAGTCTCCTGCGGGCACCGTTCTACTTTTCACCTGTTCTGTCTCATACCAATTTCACCCATCTACCTCATACATCCCTCTCCTCTGCCTCACTAGGTCCTAATACCCTCTTCCCTCCCTTTCCTCTAGCTGACACATCTTTTTTGCCCTTCTTGGGTATATTATTCTGCTGGTAACCTTCATATTCATTCAACTCATAACCTGCAGACGTTCTCACTCAAATTCTTATGAAAAACCTCACACAGGTTGTATTTTTACAGAGGTAATGGTTATCTGTGGTGTGGGTTAGTGTGCAAATATGACCGCTGGTATAGGCAGGAAGTGTCATAGAGAAATCTCAGACCTATTTGACAAATACTTTTAGTGCAAGATTCAGAAACAAGCCACCCAGTGAAGAATGCAACAGCACAGAGACATGAGCTGTCCAGAAAGATTGCACAACAAGCTGCAGGGAAAGAAGGCTGGAAAGCACCACTTGCTACAGAACGACAGCTAGCTGAGCCCAGCTGACGAGCCTGAAAGGCCAAGGAGAAGGGCACTGCAAACTCCCACAGCATCAAGCATAGGCAGCTGGGAAGG